TGCCAAAGGGGCCCTTTAGAGTAGTGAGAGAAGATCTTCACCCTGAAACCTACAGCGTCCCTTTACAGCAGGAAGTAGCTAAGAGAATACGCTGTCCCTTTTCCCCTATGAATCAGGGTGAAGTCTCTCTCAAGGAGGGGTGATAGGGAATGGCAAAGGACAGACTGACAAAGGAGATTAATCAGAACTGGCTTTGACAAGCACTGTGGCAATTGGACAATTAAAACACACTTTCAAGGGAGGGAAAAAAAGAACGAACTGGTGAGGAGGGTACAGAAAATAGTGCAACAATGAATGAATGAAAACCCCAAATCTCTATAAATGTTCATTAAAATTAATAAAATTTAATTTAAAAAAAATCCCATGGAAGGAAACTGCCTTGGAGTTGGTTTCGAACTGCAAGCCTTGAGGACAAACATGTAATAAAACTGAAATTTGGAGGAATTTATTTTATAGCTTCTCAGACAAATGACACTGAATAAAAGAAAGGGAACTACATTTACTTTTAACTCAAAAACATAATTTTTACATGCTGTTATGTGCCGTCGAGTCATCTGTAATTCGTAGCAACCCTATGTACAACAGCCCTAAACCCTGCTCTATGCTGTGCCAATCTCCCTGTCTCCGGCACAACTACCCACAGTACTCCAGTCACTGAATCAATCCATCTCATCAAGGGTCTTCCTCTCCTGGGTTTCCCCCCACCCTCCCCAGCATGACATTCCCTCTCCAAGGACTGATTCCTCCTTGTAACATGTCCAAAGTATGTCAGACGAAGCTTTAGAATCCTTGCCTCTGAGGAGCAACCTGGCTTCACCCTCGCCAAGATGAACCTATTTGTTCTACTAGCTATCCATTCAATACTCTTCTCCAGCACCACAGCTCAGAGGCATCAATTCTCTTGTCATACCTAGCCATTGTCCAGCTTTCTGATGAATAGCAAGTGCAAAGACCGTGACCTGAATCAGGCAAACCTCAGTATCCAGACTGAAATCGTTGTTCATTACATTGGAGAGTTCTCTGAGAGATGACTCTCCCAGTGCAATTCGTCTTTTAATTTCCAGACTGCTGATAGCAAGAGTGTTAACTGCAGAGCCAAGCAAATTAAAACTGTTAACAATCTTAATCTTTCCATCGTCTATCATGATGCTGCCAATAGTCCCAACAGTGACAACTTAGTGAGCACATCTAGAGCAGCATATGTTTGTTAAAATATGTCAACTGGTATGCCGCCAATTGCTGGGGCCTTCTTTTTTTCCAAATCTTTCAGAGCAGTGTGAACTTCTTCTATGCAGTCTTGAAAATACATCCTACTCATTTTTTTTTTCGTAAGGAATTTCAAATACTTCACAAATTACCCTTAAATATGCGATTAAGATGTGATGTTGAGTGACTACAAAAAACTTTTTTCTCCAGAAAGCCTATATAATTCTGATGTATCTCAGACACTCACTGCAAGGACGACAGAAATCACATCTTGCTCATTTTTATGTTATGGTCTCCTCCACCATTCTGTCTGTTTGTGATAAGCAAAAATGTTCAATGAAGTGAAGATATAAATAATGTATGTATGGTCTACCATTTTCAAGTACATACTTCTCAAATATTCTTCAAAATATCTTCTAGTTTATAAAACCGTCAACACTGTGACAACTACTGCTAAAGTGTATCGTTCTGAAGGACAGAGACTTTACAGAAACTGAAATGGATAGCTATTTGATGCCAAGAATTACTTAATCATTCAATTAAAAATTAATATGCAGAGGGTAGAAGGTAACACTATTATGAAAACATTAAAAGAGATATTGTTGCTGTCACTGAATGTCTCCTGAACAAAGGCACACAGCAAATGCTGCCAGGAATAAAGAGATATATGTGGCTGGAGGGGAAGGTACCTTAGAGCCTTTCAGTCCGCCCAGCTGGTCCTTGTCATTCAGGCCCCATACAAATACTTTGGTTCTTATCGTAGCTGTGGATTCCAGACCTGTAGCCTTCTTTCTCATAAAGCTAAGAAAGGGGGAATGGGGTGGGAGGGCAGGATTTAAGACAAAAATACTGATTACCAAGCAGAGAATAAAGAAGAAAAAAACACCATTGAAATTCAAACTCAAGCACCCAAAATTTGCTGGTCATTATGAAAACACTTGCTTTAATACAATAAAACTCTAAGCATATACAGGAATAAAGATTCCACAGGATCAAAACTTTTAACTAAAATATTTGAATTTTATTTTAATTTTTTTGTGTGCATGTGTGTGCTGAGAATAGGAATTTAAACAATTTTTTTAAAAAAATATTTTTTTATTATT